CCCCATGGACTGTAGCCCACCAAGCCCCTCTGTCCATGGGGTTCTCTAGGCAAGAATACTAGAGTGGGTTGCCATGCCTTCCTCCAGAAGATCTTTCTGACCCAGGGATCGAACTTAGGTCTCCCCCGCATTGCAGCCGCCAGAGAAGCCCTGTTCAAGCTGTATAATATTAAACAATAGTCTAAATCAATTCAAAAGCACATTCCCACTAACCTATTTCATTACGGTAATGGGAAGGATTATGGGATAATAATATATATAAAACAGCCTAATATCTGACACATACTAACCACTCAATAAACAGTACCTATAAATCATTTAAAAGGCGTGGTTATAGTAAGTATTTTCCAGACTCATGAGGTCTTTTTGGCCCCAGAGTATTTAGGATTCCATAGAAATCGAAAATGTTCTAAAGCAGGGGTCCCCAATCTCCAGGATCTAATGTCTGAAGATCTGAAGTGGAGCTGATGAAATAATAATTGAAAGAAAGTGCACAATAAGTGCAACATGCTTCAATCATCTTGAAACCATCTTCACCCCACCTCAGCACCATCTGTAAGAAAACTGTCTTCCATGAAAGTGGTCCCTGGTGTCAAAAAAGGTTGGGGACCAAGTCAAACTTTGCCAAAATCACTGTTTGGGACCTGTTATTTAAAATGTTATCACTATATTTAATCAATGTTTAAGAGACATTTGGGAGTATTTTGGTAGATAAAAGGAAAGAACCTTTGTTTTTTCTGTTTGTTTTTAGTAGACTAAGAGGAGTACAATACCCAACAACATATATTAGAACAAAATCTCTATGATTTTCTTATTTATGCACCAAGAATGCCATCTAGCTCCACTGAAGCCCAATTAATATGGTGCCATATCTGCTCTAATACAAACATCAAACATGGGTCCATTTCCTTGGTCATCTAAAACCCTGCATGAGACAATCTATAAGGCTCATATAAAGTTTTTAGTTATCTTCCCTATTATTTACCTCTTTCAGTTAAGTATTTTGTACTTAACATTTACTTTATGACTAATGTTGAGTATATCAGAGTGTATTACAATTAAGGGTTCTCAGTGGTGTTTTAAAAAATTTTTCTAGTAAACATGCAAAAACAAAGAGTCTTTTCATAGAATATGCTATTGATAGTTAACAAGGAGTTGAGTCATAGAAGGAAGACAAGACTAATATGATTAGAGCACTCAAGGTTATAGCTGGATATTGTTTTTGTTTTTTTTTTTAAAAAAAAGCTATTGTAACTAAAGGATGATGTGTTTTTTCCATACTTATAAACATCCTAGTGGTGGTGTTATACTCAATAGCAAAACCTTAGTGGCATCCATTTCCATTTCAGCCAGACTAACGCATTTCATTACAGATCTTCGCTGTGGCATTAAGAGGTCATTTGCTGGATTCTTTGGGCAGCTTAAGAGCTTAAAGCAGGAAAAAACAACCAATGGCTGAATTGCTAATACTTTTCCATAAGGGCCCTTTTCACTTCCTCTTCCCCCATTCGTTCTCCACTTCTCTATTCATACTCCATTTCTACCTCAATTTATTTTCCACTCTCTTTTTTTTCTATTGTGCCTACACCATGAGTCCACCAGGACAGCACATGAAACTTGAAGGACTGTCCTACCATACTGTGTACCTAGAGAAGCACATGGAATTTGGAGGGATTTCATTTCACAATGGTCTTTACTTTTTTGTTTTATTATGATCATATTGTATAGCCATAAAAAAAGGGAAAATCTGAGCAACTTGCCTTTTGCCTCTAGACATGATCAAGTGTCCTCTTGGGGATAAACTCCTCAGCTGAGAACTACGGTTAACCCATCAAATGTTCCCAGTCCATTTCTTCTTATTCCTCATTCCTTTGACCTAAGACCATTCAACCTATCTTCTAGTTAATATACCTTCTACTCCTTTAAACTTCCATGCAGGATCCTTATTTCGTATCTTTTTGGTGCTAATTTAAATGACTCCAGTATTATTGGACTGTGTCAAACAGCACAGCTTAGAGTGGGATACAGACTTCTGATGCCTAAACTGGGTGACAACAGCACTTTCCAACAGAAACAGAGTATGAACTACTTCATGTAACTGCAAATTTTCATAGTCATCAAAAGGAACAGGTAAAATTCACATTTTTCCTGTCTTCAAAACCCAGTGTGTCTTTATACTTAACAGCACATCTCAATTTGTATTAGCTGCAATGAGAGTGCTCAATAGCTACATATGGCTAGCTCCCAGACAGGACAACGCAGCTCTATGATATATCTCAATGACTATGGGAAGGAAGCAGGAACCGATCAAATACTATAACCTAACATATAACAAAATAGATTTCTAGTATATCAAGGACTGTTTTCCACAGCGTTGGCTACACTAACTTGTCGTCCTATATGCCTGCTTGGAAACTTATCAAATGTATAAAGCCAATCACTATACCCCCAAGAGCCTGTAACAGACACGTTAGTCTTACTGGCCCATCTGATCACAACAAGGCTGAGATTCACACCATAAGCACCACTCTTCATGGAGCAACCCTTTTAAAATAAAGTCCAAACTGCTTAATGCACAATAAAATATAGTTCATTTATATATCTAGAAAGATTTATACCAACATGCTAAAAGCAGTTACATGTCAGTGCAGGGAATTACAGGCAGCTTTTATTTTCTTTTTCTCTTGATTATCTCTTTTGTGGACTCTGCATGGGCAGCTTTTTACAAATGGGGAGAAGAGAAGATAGAACGAGTAAAGCCCACAGATGCCAAAGCATTTTGCCGGTGTGATCTCACACAACTAAGTTACCTGTGCCCCTTTAGGTTGTCACTGTTCCAATAAGCATCATTCACATGAAAACTCTTTGTATAATTAATTGAACTTAATACCTAACAGTTTTATACATAAAAATAGAAAGTATGTCTTACACTGTCTTAAGGTATATGAAATTTACTCAAAATATAGTCACTGTGTCAATCAAGGGACAAATAGTCCCTGTTTTGATTCTACCAAAATTTGTTCACCAATTCAGAAAATTCAATCACTGCAGGCAAGATCACTTGTGCTAATTAAATCACCAATATAATAAATACATTAGTACCAATAAGAATATTTACAAACATTTATATACACACACATATATATTAATCTTTGATGTCTTAGAAAACAGAAAACATACCAATACATACCAATACATTTTATGTTTTCTAAGACATCAAAGATTAATATATATGTCTGTATATAAATGTTTGTATTCTTATACAAACATTTGTTACTTCATTACATCTTATAGTGTACTCATGCCCAACTATACTATATTACATTTGTCTATAAATACCATTTAAATTATATGACATAGTTAATTACATATTATTTTAAGAGAATTTTCTATTTCGGATAAGGAATTATACTGAATTTTTAAAACTTACATTTATAAGAAAGGTATGGCGTGTATAAGAATTACATTTTAAGAAAATCAAGGGGCATTTTCAAATACATATTATAAAAAGGGGGTGTTCACATGCCCAAAAAAATCTAGACACAGAATTTATACCCCCCCATAAAAATTATCCAATTAATATTAATAGATCACAGACCTAACTGTAACATACAAACACTATGAACTCCTATTAATAATGCAGAAAATCTAGATGACCTCATTGAGTAAAGCAGTAACTTTTTAGAAGTATGATCCATGAAAGAAACAATTAATAAGCTGGACTCCATTAAAATTAAAAACTTCTGCCCTGTGAAAGATAATGTCAAAAGAATGACAAGACAAACCACAGACTGGGAGAAAACATATATCAAAGACATACTTGATAAAGGACTGTTATCCAAAACATACAAAGAACTCTAAAAATTAAACAATAAGAAAACAAACAACCCAATTGGAAAATGGGCCAAAGACCTTAAAGACACTTAAATAGAGATATACAGATGGCAAGTAAACACATGAAAAGATGTGCTTTTTTGCATACTTCATACATCATCAGGGAAACGCAAATTAAAAGAATGTGACACTACCACACACCTATAAGAATGGCCAAAATCCAGAACACTGTCAGTACCACAGGCTGGTAAGAATGTGGAGCAGTAGGAAGTCTCATACATTGCTAGTGGGAATGCAAAGTGGAACAGCCACTTTGGAAGACAGCTGAGCAGTTTCAACTAGACATATTCTAACATACAATCCAGCAATCACAATCCTTGTTGCTTGAGGAGTTGAAAACTTATACCCACACAAAATCTAGTACAGAGATGTTTAAAGCAGCTTTATTCATAGCTGCCAAAACTTGGAAGCAATCAAGATGACCTTCAGTAGTTGAAGGGATAAATAAACTATGGTACATTCAGACAATGAAACATTACTCAGTGCTAAAAAGAAATGACCTATTAAGCCATGAATAGATATGGAGGAAACATAAAAGCGTAATAGTAGGTGAAAGAAGCCAATATGAAAAGGCTATACAGTGTATGAATCCAGTTACATGCCACTCTAGAAATGACAAAACTATGGAGGCAATCAAAGCATCAGCTGTGGGCAGATGTAGAGGTGGAGAGGGACAAATAGGTGGAGCTCAGAGGATTTTTAGGGCAGTGAAATACTCTGATACTGTAATAATGGATGTAAGTCATTTCACATTTGTCCAAACCCATAAAATGTATACCACCAAGAGTGAACCCTAATGTAAACTATAAACTGGGATGATTATAATGTGTCAAGGTAGGTTCATCAATTATAACAAATGGATCACTGTGGCTGGGGGGAATGTTGATAATGGGGAAGGCCATACATGTGTTGGGGGAGGAAGTAGATGACAAATCTCTTTACCTTCCTTTCAACAGCTCTAAAAAGATAGTCCTTTTTTTTTTTAAAGATAGTCTTAAAAATGGGGAAAGAGGAGGATTAAGTCTGACAGGATTAAGAACAAGCTAGCTGACAGTAAACCGAACATTACACAGTATACTTATCCTACCCAACTGTGAGCCACTTACCTTCCATACTAGGGGAAGGGAACGCAATCATCATGAGCACAGGAAGAATCATCACTCCATCCACCATTGTACAACTGTGGAGGGAAAAAACAAGAGAGTCCAGTAAACCAAAATAAAATGTAACTGCAGGGAGACAAATGAAGCACACCATCTTTAAACTTGTCATTCAAGGCCTTCCTTACAAATCCCTCTTACATATGTTGCCTTACTTCTTAGTAATTTAAACATGTACCCTTTACATGGATCTAAATAAATCATCTTAAAGTGTTAATCAGATTTATCTCCTACTGGTGGTCAATCCAAGACAACATTCTCTGAGTCTACCCTCTTATAAAGAGCTCAAAAAGCGACATGAAAAATTCTCAGTTATAAGGCTGGGTATTCCTAAAGGACTTATAAGGATGGGTATTCATAAAGGACTAAAGTTTGAATTTTATCTTATCCCACTGAACTCAGAATTGGCAACAAGAATTCTGAGAAGCATGAATAGACTGTTCTAACATGATGCTAAAGATTAAGTGACTGAATAATCCAAGCCAAATTACTATGTTTCAGCTTTACTTTTCCTTCAAAAGGATTAGAGGGGAAGCAATTTACAATCATCATAGAGCCCTAAAAAAGAAAAAAAAAAAAAAAAAAGTAAAACACAAAACTATAGCTTACACTTCATCTATGACAAAGCAATGTATTCTTATATTAACTTCAAATTTAACAAAGCATAGACACAATCAACACAGGAAGAAATCAAATAAAACTTTAACATATGAAACTATATTGGAGAGAAAATAAGATACATAAACTTTAAGTTGATACTGCCCTAAAACTACTTGGGCAGAAGCTCAATGTTCTGAGTCAAAGGACAACAGAAAACTTTTCCATTTGAGTAATTCCTGCAAAATTTTGGAAATTATGAGAGTTTGCTTATATTAATTCTTTATTGCAAAGAATAATTTTAAAAAATTAAACCTTGAACTAGGTACAATCTTCTGGATGGCAAAAATAAAGAGAAAATGGCTAAAGTTCTTTAATGAAATGGTTCATGTGCTGTGTTACTCTTATAGCTTTAAAGCAAAGAACAAGAACCCATTGCTATCTAAGCTGTTTGGAATGGACACCTTCTGATTCATCATCTTAAAATCAAATTTTTTTGTTAGTAGTTTGATTGTTCATACCCCACACTTCTATTCTGTCTTACCACCCCTCATTCCAATTTGTCTACAATTGCATTTCAGACTCTCTCTTCTCTAATAGCAAGGTGAGGGACGGGGATAAAGGGAGTTTAATGGACTTCCTTTTTGTATTTTTAAAAGCACATGAAATATGAGTGACCCTTTTTTTCTCTTTCCGTTGTTATTATTTCCATAGATCTTTTCTACAGCATGCCCTTATTTAATATACAAATGCCTCACCTCACCCTGGGATCCTCACAACATCTCTGTACCTTTGAACAGAAGCACTCTGTTGGTTCCCTCCACTCCAGGTGACCTGAGCCTCCCCTCTACCTCTCTCCTAGCCAACTCCCTCCTCCTGCCATTCATGATCCAGTGCAAAAAGCAAACGCCTGGTGCAATAGCTCTCCATCAGCAGTGATTTCACCCCTCTCAGCACTGGTCTAACACCACTCAGAATCAATCATTTGTCTTCGTCAATCTCCAGCACTGGCCTACTTGCCCTCAAAGGGGTACATACTTCCACAGGCCATACAAAATAATGCATTAAATTATGGAATAAATATACTAAAACTTGTATCCTATTTAAAAAATGATTTAATCTAATACAGTGATAACTTCATCTTTTATGACAGTCCAATACAAGAGCTATCTTGAAGTGAGAGTTACCTAATGTGAAAGAGTGGACATGGTTTGCTTCTAGAATAGGTTTGAAGGTTTATTTAAGTGGAATCACAGGTTGTAAAGAAGCCACCTGCAATGAGGGAGACCTTGGTTTGATCCCTGGGTTGGGAAGATCCCCTGGAGAAGGGAAAAGCTACCCATTCCAGTATTCTGGCCTAAAGAATTCCATGGACTCTATAGTCCACGGGGTCGCAAATGAGCCCTCCCCAAATTGCAAGTGTTCTAAATCCATTAAGGAACTACAGATTAAATATGTTATTAATGAGTACCAGAGAATAGTAAGAAAATGGTAGCGCTGATATCGCTATTCCTAGTGGTTAATCAGTTTACTAGAGAATAGCAATTAACATTCAGTTCATGTGACTGAAGCAGGCTCACCAAATTCAAAATTAAAAAATACATTAAAAACTGATTTGCATCCAGTATCACAAACAATAAACATTATCCTGAGTGACTTGAGACTTTCGTCAATAATACAATGTCATTACCATTAGCAATACCATAAATATTTCACCTTAAATCTTTTTAAAAATTCTACTTTATGTACATTTTATAATACGTAGATTTATTTTATATAACAGTTATAAGCAACATACACATTGAGGGTATACACTGAAAAAGCTTTTTAACTGATGAGATATAATCATCAAAAGCCTTTGAAAACCACTGAACTATCACAGACTTATCTTTGAATTTCCAGCCCATCCTTTCTCCTTCCTTCCACAACTATTGGAAGCCTGCTATGTATTAGAAATTAGAAACTTAAAATGATAAAGACATACAAACATGGTCCTTACTATTATGGAGCTTACTCAGTCTTATCTATGGTGGTACTCAAATAACCATACAGAAGACTGCACAGTTAAAAACTGAACTAACTGTTAGGAAGAAAGAGAGTTAAATAAGATTGCTAACAAAACAACTTGAGATTTTTCTGGAGGGTGGAGGAGCTTCCCTGGGGAGATCATATCTAAACAGGAACTAGAAAGATGAGTAGGAGGTACTACAAAAAGGGTAAGAGTATGTGAGTCCTCCTTTGTGTGTGTGCATGCGCATGTGTTTATGTTGGAGTGGTGAACACTCTGGTGGAGACAGGAGGGCATTTAAGGGGAAAGGCGATTTCTCAGCTTCTACACAGACCCTGTGGCCAGGGGAAGCATGGTGCATCCTGAGGACTTAAGACATATTTCACATAAAAAAAAAAAAAAAAAACCACACCAGGCTAGGATACAGAAAGCTTATAGAGAAGAGTGATAAGGGGAGAAAACCCAAGAAGGCCAGGGAGTTAGCCCCCAACCAGAACCTGGGTAAAACATGGTAAGCTCTAGTAAGTAAGCCCCCTACTCACCTCCCTACATTCAAAGCCCTTCTCCACTCCATTGTCCTTGGCACACCAACAAGCCAGCTTCCTCCCATCTCTGGACCTCTCTATATATGCTGCTGCTGCTCCCAGTGATTGGGCCCATCTTTCAGGATCCAATCTGGCAAATTCCTACTCCTCTTTCAAGTCTCAAATGTCACTGCCTTCTAGAAGCTTTCCTATACCTTCATATTTCCTCATTATACTCTCACATACCACTTTGTTGATTTCATTCATAGCACTTATCATAATTAACCATTATATATTCATACTCATGTGTGTACTTTTGAACATCTGCCTCCCTCACTAGACTATAAACATTATAGTAAAATCTATAGTCTATTTTGTTCATCGCTACCAAAGCCCAAGTAGGTGCACATTTAATACTTGCTGAATTTTCCCTGAACTAATCAGTTTGATTTAACTTTAAAGTCCAAAGAATTAGCAATGCCCCCTCCCCACTCCTAACACACAAGCACCTGCAAAGGAATAGTAAGATTAAGGCATTTATCAACTGTTAACTTTATGGTCTAGAATGTAGTGCAGGTTAATAATAGTCAGCATTAACAAGTCCAAAGCTTTAAAATCAAGAATTCTTTCACAATTTAAAAAATAATTCTAAAGACAATCACCACTGGCAATTTTTCCTGTCACAAAACCAACAAAAGTTCCCGCCCCTAAACACCTTTTAACTGATTATTATTGTGCAAGGAAAATTGAAACAATAATTTAGGCTCCTAAATGGAAAACAGGGGAGGGGAGAAAAAGGAGTTATAAATTCAGGCTTCCAAACAAATCTGCTGTTTAGAGATAGATAGCTCAAAACCTGCCAAAAATCTTTGGGAAAAAACGTCAGCATCACTTATTGGTCACCACTTTGTTCAGTGTCTGGACTGTCTCTGATGACTAGTTAACTAAGCTATTAAAAAGGGTACTTTCAAAAGTAAAAAGGTAAAAGAAATGCAGAAAGGAGAATGTTCTGGAATAAATTTTCTGATATTTTACTTATGAAAAACATCAATATGATAATGTCCCAACTTGAAGCCCCAGGGATCTATTTCTAAGTTTAAAATATGCTAAGAAGAAAATACTGTTTTTAAAAGTAATTTTAAACTCCTTTGTACTCAAGTATTTTTAACTAAGGAGTTTCAGAAGTGGCCTGGCCCAAAAGAGAAACTGATAATGGGAGAAGAGAGTGGCGATAATCAATAGTTCAGGGATGTTTTAATTCAGTGATTTAAAAAATTTGTGATCTCCAAATCTCTTTATACTCTTGAAAATTATTGAGGACTCTAAGGAACTTGCCTATGTGGGCTATTTCTATCAACAGTTATTCTATGAGAAATTTTAAAAAAATTGTTTTTTAGAAACTTTTAAATTGTTTAATGGAGAATGCTTTAATTACTGTATTTGTTTTTAAATAACAACATATTATCCCATTTTTTTCTAAGTTAAAAAAAAAAGAACTAAATGGAAACACAAATGTAGAGAACAAATGTGTGGATACCAAAGGGGGAAAGGTTGGGGGGTGGGGGCAGGAAATTGGGAGATTAGGACTGATATACATACACCATTGATACTAGGTATAAAGTAGATAACTAGTGAGAACCTACTGTATAGCTCAGGGAACTCTACTCAGCACTCTAATGGTGACCTCAATGGAAAGGAAATTAAAAAAAAAACAGGGGATCTGTGTATATGTACAGCTGACTCACTTCACTGTGCAACAGAAACTAATACAACACTGCAAAGCAACTATACTCCAACAAAAATTAATTAAAAAAATTTTTTTTTGATTTTTAAGAAGTATATTCCACCCCCCCAAAAAAAATTGTAGTGAGAAAAATGGTATTATTATGCA